GTCGTCTAATTCACGTCAATTTTTGGTCATAACTCGTCGGCGACGTCATTCGCCCAAAAAATCACGTGAAAATGACGAGATTTTTATGACTTACTTCTGACGTCAATTAATGACGTCAAAAGGCCGTACTTTCTTCGTCATTTTTTATAGATTATATGATCAATTAGATGTGGGTCGTCGTATTCTTTAAAAAGTGGCCTTCATAATGCTTGATTATATTTAGAGCAAAAAATACAACGGCTTAATTAGAAATACACCAAAGACAAGTTTTTTCATTGTAATAATTTCTAATAAAATAATTATTTCTGAAAACTTGTTTACTCTGGAAGTGTTATTTTGTAAGTACCTGCCTACCTGCTTGGCAAATTATAAATAGAACATCTGGGGTTGAGCGAAAAGACCCAACGACACAAACAAAGTCATAAAAATTCTTTGTCCATTGTTCCTGAAACGGGACAAGGTTTTGAAGAATTCCTTCGTCGAATTTTGATTTTATAAAGACGTTTATAAAGTGATGACGGTTACCAAAAAAATTCGAGAGTGATTAATATTCAGTTTTATTAAATTTATCCTTATCCGTATTTACTATACAATACATCAGATGTTTGGGGTGTGCATTCGGACTTTCCCTTTTTTCGGTATTTATGTTTATTGCACTTCACAGAGAGGCATTCCAATATTTCCAGTTGGTTCTCAACCACCGAAACTTTCTCGTGTATCCGTTACTCACTTCAATTTTAACGCAGTTTTGTGCAAATTTATGCCATTCAATGTGGGTTGTACTTATTTATAGTAGGTAAGTTAATATCTAATAAAGTAATCATTTTAATTTTTACGTGTTTCTGTTATTTTTGATAACTGTACGTAGATAACAAAAGCAGTTTTTTCAGATAAGCTGGAAAGACCACCCTTGATCACTGAAGATACTCCCACTGATTATGAAGAACTTACGGTGATTGTTTTTGAAAATGAGGCTCTATAAAATATTGCAAAGGTATGTTACTGCAATTTTTTATGAACTAATGCTAATAAACATAATTTTATTTTAGATTTGAAACAAATACAAAACACATGTGCGAAACAAAAGAAATGCTAAAGGAAACGAGTGAAAAAATCTCCAACATGGAAACGTCATCAAATCTGACAACTGAAAAAGAAAACAAAAACAGAAATTATGCCGCCAAAACCACACCTAAACAAATTTTGACGAATTACAAGATTATGTTTGCATATTAGAACAAGCAGATTTCTTTGTAAGTTAAAAAAATACAATGAATTCAGATATACATATATAACATTAATATTGGATATTATATACCGGTAGATGCCTGTAATACTACGATACTTTTTGGTAACTTACTATTTACACATACACATTTCGCTTCATTGTAAAAAGTATTGACAACGAGATTTTCCTGATAGGTTGTACGTTTTTGTCAATGCAACCATTTTACGATTATCCGTTAGATTCAAGTAAATTTAGGATTTTTAAAATACAGAATTTGTCTTCTGCTTTAAGCTGTAATCCCTTAAATTTAATAATAGTCAAATGCTTGCTATTGCCCATAGATGAAAAAATGATTGCATTTCCTTTAATCCATGCACTCTAACGGGTTTTTCTTTTCAGTGCAATCAATTGAGGCAAACTTAAAAAACTTAGGTTATTGATATGATTGTTAAAACAGAATTAATTCTTAACGGTACTTTTTCGTGTGTTGGGGACAGTCAAGTCGTCGTGAATTAGATAGTTTTACATATACTGTGGTTTTACAGTGCATTTTCAATCAAGTAATTTCAACAATGCGATTCAGTTGTCTTTTCCCTTTATTCCAGTTTTTTTTTAATATTTTTTGTAAATAGATTTGTTTGTGTTTTTAAGACTCATCTATAGTTTATTATAGTTTTTTTTTAACATTCTTTGTAACTAAATAGATTTCTTTGTGTTTTTAAAACTGATTTTTCTTTAAATAGAAAATTTTATTGCAACGTTTATTTTTGATTATATATTGTACAATATCCTTTTTTTTTGTTTATACTAATTATACTCGTAATTACCTGTATGTAGATTTGTTTGTGTTCTTAGGAGTGGTTTATCTTTAATTTGTTTAATTGACATATTTTTTATGTTTATTGAAGTTCATTGTTGGTTGTACAAAATTGTAGTAAATTTAATTTTTTTACACTAATTTGTTTTAACTTTAATTAATATATACTTTGTTTTGGGCTTTACTTGGTGATTGTAACGAATTATAATATTTTATTTAAGCTAAACAATATAAAAAAATAAAATTATTTCAGCGTTTTATTTATTGCATATTTTTTTTTAAATCAAAATATAAAAAACGTCTTAAAATGGACAATAAATGCCGTCTCTAGGACGTCAGCAAATTACGTCAATAATTCGTTACAAAATGACGACTCTAAGACGTCAGTACATCACGTTCGTGAGAAAATGACGTCATCTAGACGAGACATTTGACCGTCATTGGTACGTCAATATCACGTGAAATCTTTGGTCACTATGACGTAAATGATGACCATTTATTCACGTGAAAAAAACGACATCATGTTGCCTGGGATATACACCGTTTGTGGTTTATCTAGTAATAAGAACGAAGTGGATACAATCTACACAGACCTACCAGATTTACCACGGTTAATATCACCGTATTAACATCTAAATTACATACAGCAGGAATCAGAGATCGTTTCTTATTGGTTGTGGTTAACCGGTCAGAACTAACTTCAGTGTACCACAAGATTTCCACCTAGGACCACTGATCTTTAATATTTATGTAAACGATCTTAAAGATTGTATGGATAAAACTGCATTCATATTGTATGTAGATGATTTAAAACTTTTCCGCGTTATCAATAAAATTACTGACTGTCTCTAATTACTGGATGCATTTGTCGTTTGGTGTAAAATAAACGGGTTGGAAATCAATAAAAAAAAGTGTAAAGCTTTGAAATTTTCCGGTAAAAAAACACTAGTACTATTTGTTTACTTCACCGAAGGTACTCAGTTAAAACATGTCGAGGTTTTTTGTGATTTGCTAGATTTGTACGGATGTGGCGGTAACTTGTTTAAACTCCATTAAATCATATTAAAGATGAAAGAAAAACATCTTATGAGTTTAAAATATTTTAATTGTGTGATGATCAGTGTTAGGCACGGCTGAAGTGATGGGCAATCAATCAGATAAATGTTAAAAACGACGGCGCGACGTCAGGCAAGAAACTTGGTTGGCCGACTCAACCACATCTCAGTGGCATTTGATGCAAATCAAGGTTTATCTAATCACGAAAATTGCGATGTTGAACAGTTATTTTTAATTTTTAAAGCATTTTAACATCTAGAAGAACTCGTAAAACTGAGGAAAACCGGTTACAATTGTAGCATATATTCCGAAATCAGACCAAAAAAATATAATAAACAATAATAGAGACCGTGCATTTACAGATAAACACAGTGGGTCATCAACATCTGACAAGTAGAATTCCACCAGTGGCGGAACTTACTTTCGAACGTTAAACTATAAACACAGTAGTTCTGAAAAGAACTGTTTTCTAAATCGCAACTTATAGCAGAAGAACACTACGTAAAAACATAAATACAAGTGAACATTACGAAAGACTAAAGCTGATGCACCCCAATGGGGGATGCGACCACCCCTTAAATTTAAAAATAGACTTGGCCCGACTCATTTTCGTTTGCTGCGCAAGTTTATAGGTATGCTTATCTGAAAACGCACAGACTCTAGTTGTGAATTGAATAATCATTATAATAATTTAGAAGTAATAAATTTCACTATCTATAGCTCGACACATTTATTATTATGCCGTGTAAGTGAAACAGAATATTCAACCATTACTAGTGGAATTAATTTGATTATTCTACGTCAGTCTGAATAAATTAACCTTGTGGAAATCCCCATGAAATGTCAAATGCCTAACAAGATGTAAAGCTGCTGACGACAGTCTTACGCCTCTCGAATCATGGAAAATTTTGAAAAATAGCACCCAGAATTGATTACCGAATAAATCGCGGTCTACCTACGCAAATATCGTTTTGTTCTTTTAACACTTATTTTATTTGTTATTTGACAGTGATGTTTGTAATAGTTGCCAACCTTGAAAACATAAATTACTAAACGCAAATTCGAAAAAAAGTTGTGCCAACTGATCGTTTGAAATAGTGCAACTATCCTATAAAAAACAAAATGTTTCTACAAAGACTTTTAATGTTAAAACACACGTTACCTAACTAAACCAACACCACATTTTTTTCTGTTTATTAAATCAAATGATTACTATATTAGACATTTATGTCTAAATGTAGCAACAAACAACATAATAAATTTAAATTATAATTTCAAACACAGTACTTCCCTGTGTTTAAATGAGTCATGATTCATCATGCAATTTGTATGATTTTCCGTCACTTTAATAAATGATACCTACGGAAAAAATTAAGTATTTCAGTTGTTCATTATTCAGGGTTCTTTATCATCAATAAAAGCAACGAAAAAATGATTTGTTCTATATTATGTAATAAAGGAGTCTCTAATTTAGTAAACCGCTAGCTGTAACCTTGTTAAATTTATTATATGAAATATTGTTGGAATATATTTTTAATACTCAAAATGCTAAAATATGGGATCATTACATTTCAAACTACTAGAAATATTGGCAACTTTTATATCACAACTTCACGACGTTGAAATGGAAATAGTTTGTTTTCAACAAGATGAGGCTACAGCGCATTCCGCTAGGGTTATAAGGGCAATATTGCGGGAGTTTTTTGACAAATAAATAGTTAGTCGAGGCAGAGAGAATATTTGGCTATTTAAAGAACACTAACAAAAGAAATTAACGACATAAACAATAATATAGAGATTTTGATTTTTTTTTTAATTTCAGACGATACTAGAACAAAACAAGAAACATCCGTCATATTAACAACAATAATACCAACCTCTTGAAAAAATATACCTTACCCGTGAATTTATAATGTCCTGTAACCTTTCATTGGACTGTTTGCCATTTTTTGGACGAACTAATATATAAATCGCCGACAGCTTCGAACAGGACCTCAAGAGTTTTTCAATGAGGACCTTTCCCATAAAACCTGAAGCTCCTGTAATAAAGACACGCCTGTCGGCGTAAAAATTCACAATCGGGGAGTCCATTCTTCTGAGGCATTCACCTGTAAAGAAAAAATGAAACGTGAACACTGCGTATTGAGCAATTTAATGGATAGAGACATGAAGAAGGACAGTATTAAATCGTGAAGTATTAGCAATTCAACGACGAAAGAGATTGATAACAGTTTTAAACATATGCGGAAACACAGAGGTATTTGAATTTATAAATATGATGACGCTTTACAAAACTATAGTCTTTTGTAACACTAAGAAGATAAATAGATATATATCATTTAAGAGAAGGTCAACCACGACATATTAAAGGTCGCTTGCAGCTGAGGCCACGTTGAACTCAACTTTGACCACGGATGGTTGGGTCGAAAACGATAAAGATAATTCTCAACTAATTTGAACCCAACAATAGGTTTGCATTAGAATATAATATATGATGATACATATCTGAAACGACAATATTTGTCTTAAATCTCTCAGATTCTCTCTCACAAGTACAAAACGTTTTTTGTCAAGATGGTCTAGTATTGTAATTTTAATTCAATCAGTTAAGACTGTTTACCAGTGGGAATGAATGTAATTTTTACAACGCTATAACTTTTTATTTTCATATTTAACAAAAATATATAAACATCATTGTAATTGTTGTGTTCTCCTTAAAGTTTAATGGTTTACCTAAAAAAAAATAATTAAAACTTTACTCTCAAGTAATCTCCATGTATAATTTGCAAGTACCTAATTTCGAGACAAAATTTTGGTGCACTTTCTTTATCATTCAACCACCAGTGTTGGGGACAGACTTTTAAAAATATTTTTCGAAATGTATCTAGATAACAGATACAAGAAAACAGATACTTTTTGAAGCTTTGGCGAATAAAATAACTGAAAACATGTTTATGTATTTTTTTATGTATTGTTCAATGAATTTTTTAAAATTGACAACATTTCAAACGTATTGTCACCTAAAATATTTCTTCTTGGTGTCAGAATTTGGTTTCCGCTACTAAACACCCGTTCCACAGGTGCAGAAGAAGGGATTGTGGTATTAAATTTAAAAAAGTAAACATTTTACTGTAGCATAGTTATTCAAGACTGAAAAATCTTTTCTTTTTTCCTGCAAATAGGCCATCGCTTCGTTGTTTGATGTGTCGCAAGTTGTGCAATATTTATTCTTCTTCTTCTTCAAGTGCCTATCCTCTGTGGATGTCGGCTATCACATTTGCCCACATTACTCTATTTACCGCCGCTCTAAATAGTGCCATTGAGGTCAATCCGGTCCATGATCTTAAATTTCGCAGCCACGATATTCTTCTGCGTCCTGCTGTTCTATGACCTTCTATTTTGCCTTGCAGTATTAGCTGTAAGACGCGGTATTTGTCCCCTCTCATTATGTGACCGAAGTATTCCAATTTCCTGTATTTAATAGTTGTTAGGAAGTTCAGTTTTTCATGAATTCTCTGCAAAATGGTTTCGTTTGACACGTGATGGGTCCAGGATACTCTTAGCATGCGGCGGTAGCACCACATCTCAAACGCGTCTACACGTTTGCACGATGCATCAGTGAGCGTCCATGCTTCCGCTCCATATAGGAGAGTTGGTAGTATATAGCTGTTTAGTATCCTAATTCTGGTTTTTATGTTAAGTTGTAGGTTGCATAATACATTGCGCATTTTGTTGAATGTGGCTCTTGCTGTTTCTATTCGATGTTTTATTTCTCGTGAGTGGTCCCAGTCTTCATTCAGAGTGCATCCCAGGTATGTTACAGAGTCGACTATCTTGAGAACTGTGTTGTTAGCGGTAATTTGTGGATTATGGGTATTATTTTTACTGATGATTAGTATATGCGTTTTTTTGGTGTTCAATTTCATCTCGTATATGTTACATGCATTAACTACACGGTCTATGAGTCTTTGATGTCCTTCGGCGCTGTCAGCTAAGAGGACGGTGTCGTCCGCGTATCTGAGATTGTTTACTATTTCCCCGTTTATTATAAGACCATCATCTGTGTTTTCCAATGCTTCTCTGAAAAGTTGTTCTGAGTACACATTAAACAAGAGAGGCGATAATATGCATCCCTGCCGTACTCCTCTTCTTACGTTAAATGATTCTGATACCTCATTATTTATTCGTATTGTGGCTTTTTGTTGTATTTATTAGGTACGCTTAAAAAGAATATTTTTTTTGTTTTTATTCCCGTACTACAGTGTCCAAATTGTGTTTGAGTATATCTAATAATTATCTCCAGCATTAAAATTAATATTTCAAAAGAATACGGGAAATGATTATTCTGTGCTGAACGTCTGTAGTCGGCAACCTGTCATAAATTATTATTCTTCAATATCGGCTTACGATATTTTATGACCATGTCCAGTAATCGTCTATCCCAGTGCGGCAGGTATATACATTTTAGGAAGAATTGCTGGTTCCGTTTAAGGTAAAATAAGTATAGTTTCTTAGAAAGGTATTTAAACCCCTTATAGGATCAAAGGCTGCCTGGCAGGCCGGAATCACCAGAGTGCAACTTTAAATTTTCAGATTTTTGTTGAAACTCATTTTATTTTAATCTCGTTTCACTATTTCTGAGAATATATCACGATAAATTATTCTACCGAAGGTTGTAAAAATATTAATTTTATTGCCCAAGATTTACACTTAAACATAATCGGCACATTCTAGGGCAAAACGGACCTGCCAAGCCCGCCTCGCGTTAGGTCCAACAATGAAAAAGTGAAGAAGTGACACATGTGGCAAAAACTAAGTTGTGCTAATTGAAAAAATGAATCATTATGTAACACGCAATTATTATTTTCTAAAAGTAATAACATACCTTAAACAACTATTTTTACTATTAAATTTATTCTTATTTAATTACATAAATACAACCAGCGGGCCTACCGGACTCGGGTTGCTTTATGGTTTTTAAAATACCATCTTACCATGGCTTAGATTTATTACCCCTCAGGATTATATTTAAAGATGTATAAGTACTGAAGGCTACAATGTAGGAAATTATGGTATTTAAAATATGAAAATTTTCGTGACGGAACACTATTAGTGGACCTCTTAACCTTTATTTTTGTTTATGTGACCAAAATCACCAACATGAAGTATCAAAAATTACTACTAGTATAACTCAACTAATAACTACTGAAAAAAAGTGAAATAAAAAAATGTATCTGTATCTGCGCCATTAATTTTGTATCTAGATACAGATTTTTTGTGCTTAAATTCGATTTTATCAAGATACAGATACTAGATACCCAAAAATGTATCTAGATACTGCCCAACACTGTCAACCACTGTAGTTGCACAAGTCGTACGAGAGTGTTAGTGTTTAAAAAATGGGTATCCACGGTGAAAGTAAACAATCTGTGGAAGCAAGACGTAAGAGTAGAAAAAACCGAATGAAACTGATCCGAGATAAAAAAAAAATAAGTGTATACATATTTACATACTTATACATATATCCTGCGTGTCACAAATCATGTAAACGGGAGCTTGTGTATACAGAATGATTCAAAAAGGTTACGTATAACGTACTCTACACGTCAAAAAGAACAAAAAAGGTTATACAATCTTGGGCCCGCAATTACTCTGTTTAAATGTGAGTTGCAGTAATCCGAAACTGACTACACTATCCACTGGTAAAGAACCAGGATAGGTTTGGAAGCAATATAAATATGTTAAAACGAATTGCAAAAATGTTCTCACAGTTTATATGAAACTATACAATTATTTTTTTTAAACTACAACGTACATATTATTTTTTATGGATTCTGATATAAATTATTATCTAAATGACGAGATAATATCTAGTCTCCATATGCTGTTGTGGAAGCCGATGTACAAACACTATTGCTGTTGCCACTATTTTAAACGTTAACATCAGAAATTTTGACCTCTTGTAATAGTTCTTAACTGCCCGTGAAAAAAGGGTTGAATTCTTTAATTCGGAAATATATTTATTATGAAAATTGCGTCGACAATAAAGACCTTACTCGATGACCACCTGGCAGCACAGATTTAATGCCCATAGATTGATTTTACACTATCAAAGATAGAAATGAAGATGTTAATTTGACGAAGACAATGATAATAGTTCACTGAGAACACGAAAATGTAAAGAGAAAAAAGAGTACTATGACGAAATGTAAAAATTGTTCGAAGATTATTTCGACAGAACTTCCCTCGCCCATAAAGTACAACGTCATAAAATAACGAAATAATGTAATCACGTCTGCGTATTAACAGAGGTGTGACTGAAGACTGAATTGAAAATCATTTATGGTACTTGTAATTTAAGACAAATAGTGATAACTAGAGAGCGGATTTTATGAAATTTGCATATCCGTTATTTCTTGCATATAAGTTTAGATATTTAATATGTGAACGAATCATGCTAATTAAAATTGAATGCAGCTATAAAAAAATTGCATATTTGCATATATTTGCCTTCTGTTGCATATTTCACGCAACGGGTGCATATTTTGCATTTTTATCAATTTTTGTGCTACTTTGAAAAAAAAAAATTGCCAATCGATCGGCATTTTTCTAGAAAGACGAAATTTCATTAATCATATTGCAAATATTGTCCTGAGCTTCAAATAACTGGGAAAGGTTTGGGTTTTATGGTAGTTTGGAGGAACCACTGGGTGTTAAGCCATCCTTCCAGGTAAATTCGGGTCCTAATTACTTTTGGAAATACCGTTCATTTCAATATTTTTGTTCGTTACTTAAGTGTATTAATGATATGTTTTATGGTGGTCGAAGGGAAGTTATCCTATTATTTTTCATCGTGAGTTTGCATTTAAGTATTTAAAGCGATAGAGATGTGTGTCAATATGTAGATAACTCAAATTAATTTATGAATTAAAGCTTTTCCTGAACTTATTCTTCAAGAAGGAACTGTGTTTTGTTGTGCCTGCTCTAATCCGATAAGTATTTTTACATCTGTTGACGCAGTACGCAGTTTTTCTATTTACAAATACATACTTTAGAATCACCGGAAAAATTTTTGTTAGAATATTTCGAAAAATATTTAAAAATAAAT